TAGAAGCCTATCCTAATACAAATCCGCTACTAAATACCACTACTGGACTTAAAACAGTTTAAGCCAATTGATAAGCTTGGCTTATTTTTGGGGGAAATCGCTTGATATATTAATATGTTCAATACTTTCCTTCTGCCATCTGATTTTTTTGAAAAACTAGAAAATGACACGCTCTTATTCCGTTATTAATTAGAAAATTAGATTTGATTTTCAATATAACTTTCTTGTTTGGTTATTAATAAATATTTTTATATAACTTTGTAAGTTATTTGTTTAATTATACAAATTATGATACAAATGATATTTTAGCAATTGGCACAAGGCTCTTTAAAAGTGTATTCTGGAGATATCCCGGCAATTTTCTGACCTGAGTGCATTTTCTGACCTGAGTTGAACCGTGCAATTCCTTCCATTATAGTATCCTTAATCCTTCATAAAAAAACAATAACATGCCACCGGACGCTGTAGAGCAACACTCTATAGGGCATATAAAACTAAACTTATTTTTGCACTTGTAGAACTCACAACAAAACGAGGGGTTTAACGATATGCTAATCACACCAATTTGTACGAACTGTCGGTCAGGAAGGAGTTTAAGAACTTTGACCTTACCCTACTATCACACCAAACTAATTCTCACTACGTTCTCGAAAACGGGCTTCAACTGTGTACGAACGGATTTGACGTACTAAGAACCGTTTGGGGTCTATTTACAAACTTTATCGAACGTACTCGAACGGGTAGGTCCTCTAGAACTTAGCACATAAGTTTTAAATGAGTTGGTCTTAAACCCGGTAGCCGGCAGGCGTTAGTTGCATTCCCAAATACAAGGTTCGGGCTAGGCACAAACGTTTTCTGTGCCCCGAAGCTTTTGTGCATAGCCCTAAGGGGTGTATTCGACGATATTACACCTGCTCTGAGGTCTACATTACGATTCGAACATGAAAACTCACCAAAATGTGTCGAATATTCATTATGGTTCGCCATTACTACGACCCGCCGTTATGATGTCACATATTACCAGGGGTAGTGCTCGCGAATATGCACCGGGTGAAATGGTGACATTGTTCACAGTTTACAGTTTGATGAAGTAAATCAAGATTATTTCTACTCCCATCTAGTATACAGTTGGGGACATAAATAAATGACAGGTGGATTTGCTGAAGTGAGGATTTCCCATGTTAAAAATAAGAGAATTTACAAGAGGCCATACATCAGTGGATGAGATTATACAAAATGTAAAATATACAAATTTTAAGGGATATATATCTAGACAATATTGGAAATTATGGGCTTTCAGACCACCATAATTAGGAAATGGTGATCGAAAATCGACCTGTCATTTATTTTTGTCCCCAACTGTATATTGTGTTCCTTATTTACAATAATTCCTTAATTTCCTTAATTACAATAATATGGAGATTTACTGCATGTTACCCTTGCTTCGGACGATTGCGATATTTTACATCTTGTAGATTTAAATATCCTCTTTTGAATATTCATAATTCAATTTGGGTGATAGTGCTTTATTTTTTCATGATAAGAAATATGAACCCAGGACACTGTTTTCCAAACCGAGACTTGTCCTTTCACTGTATTTGATTAAAATAGTAGTACTAGTGAAGTATTAGCTACTAGGTCAATAGAAAGATGGCACTAGTGAGCAGGTGACTATATAAATAAGTAACTACTATTGCCATATATTGTTCCTTGTGTTGTGTAAACAGACTGGATGATCCTTTTCACACCTTGCAAAGCCGAGTCGAGTAGAAGATTAAACAATACTAATTTGACAAATTAATTAATTAATCTGAAAAATTTGCCTCATACACCCCCCCCCCTTGAGAAATCCTAGCTTCGCCACTGTTTGTAATCACTGTGGGCTCTGTATAGATACATACACACAGTAGAGATTTATGTTAAACTCTGAGGCCAGGAATACGTTTAAAATGTTTTACTTGATTACTTACATGTATAAGAATAAGACTGATTTTTATAAG